TGCTTAGGATAAGATGAGCACCGGTGCTCATTAGATCATTTCTGTATATATATATATATATATAAATCAAAATCTGGGGGGGGCACTTGCCCCCCAGGTCCGCCCCTGAATACATGCACGATAAACTTTTCATTATAGAATTGCTCCGCGAACATATGCCAAGTGATCATTGGCTCGCCTTCCTTCCAATGTCGAATTCCATCCACAATGTGTCAAGAATCCTCCAATCGAAGAATGAGACAATATCAAAACTTGCGGCGCCCATCCTCGGATTACTAGGCCTCTCCCTTTAACCCTTTCTTCAAACTTGTCTTCTGCTAACCATTTTTCTACTTCTGCAGAAGATTCCTGCCCTCTTACGATCCAAATGAAAGAAAAATTCGATGCTTTCAACCCTAAACCAATTTCTTTTAGCTGTTCAAATGAAATGCGACAAGGCTGCCAAAACATGCATAAATCACAGACCTTGGCTTTATCGAATCAAGCCATATCATGGAAGGATGCTCATTAATGGAGGCTTTATTATTACTCAAAGAAACTGGTCCAATGCACCAAAGATTTTTCTTTACTATTTTCTTGTATTCTTCCACATACCATGGCTCCAAATCTTGAAAACTGTTTACCAGAATAAATTGTGCTGAACCCTCAACCTGCAAAATTTTTTCTACAAGCCCTTTAAAATTATATGACTTTTCCCTCATCGATTCAGGCAACTGGGATTTGGTGAATTCGATTTTGTATGGCATATCTGATATCGAAAAAGATTCTGAATTTGAAACAATGGTATTGTCTTCGATAATTTTCATTATTTTGCGAGAGCACAAGAGTGTAAAACAAGAAATTGTTTCAAAAATATTCCTAGGGATCTTGCATTTTTGAGCAACTTCTTGAGTCCAAGGTAGAGCATTACTGGAAATCATGTAATCAGGTTTTGGTTCTAATTCTCCAATCAATTTTTCAAGTTGGGTGTGCAGTAATTCACGGGCCAGAAACGGATTTACTAATTCAGGAGAAGTGATCGTATCCATGTTTTCACATCCCTCAGGCAGTCCAGCTTCTTGACATGGAAATTTCAGGGAAATCATTTGAATCTTGAGGTTTTCCTCTATGGGATTATCAATTATGGGTTTGTACCTGGCAGCATTGAGGGGTGTTGTTATGATGGAGACCGCGACGCCTCGACGCCTCGACGTGCAATTAACTTGGCAATATCCGTCAAGGGAATGATATGGCTTTGGGACATTAGAGGAACCACGAGGAAATGAAGCTGCTGAATTTCGAAAATCGGAAGCCATTGATGAATTGACTGCTAGAATATTGGATGAGAGTCATTAATTATGGAAACTCTCAGGTACCCACTATCTATGTCTCTGTGCAAGACTCTACATTCTCAATTCCCATGTTACTGGCTAGTTTACACTATCAATTATCAAATACTCATAATTAATGTGTATGCTGTATGTGTTTCTTATACTTTTGCAGCTCTGTGTGCTACATAAAACTTTTTTCCTTTATGTGATTGTATCCTATTCTCTTTCTATTCAACTCCATGTAACAAGAAAAAAATACATTCATATGACATTTAATTGTTCTGATTGTTCACAAAAACAGGGATTTCCTTGATTAGGGTCACAAATCTTGGGTCTCCTGGTGAGCACTTTTCTTCAAAAACAATGATTAGCTGTGCTTGATATTATAATAAAAAGCTGGTCTTTTGTCGTCTTCTTGGAAGAGAGATGTTGACCCCAAAAAATGTTGCTAACAGATGTCGGGCCCACTCATGTATGCGTAAGCTTAATCCAACACGTTATTGCCGATCGACGGTCATGATAGCTCTAAAATCTGAACGTGGGAGGAACTCAACGACACGAGACGTCACCGTTCGGG